TTAGAAAAAATAATTTTAAAAGTTCACCCATTCATCGATTTCCAGTTTAGCCATGTCCATGCATTGCCTATTCTGAATATTTACAGTACTCTTTGGGTATCTTTACTTAGCTGTTTTCTTTGGAGTAGCTGCAGCAACAACCACAAAATAATCCCTTCGAGCAAGGCCTAGTTAAGCCTCTTGACAAAGTTAAGAGCAGCACTAACTAAAAATTGGACCATTCATTGGGCCCGTGTGACAGCTTGTTAAGATTGCAACAACAACAACAAACAAAAATCACAGGGCGAATTTTGTGCAGCTTTCCACCATCACCACCCCAGTACAAAATAAGTTGCATTCTGTTCCCTTGAACATTTTTACAATGCCCAGAGTGTTAAAATTTGCTCTATAAATCAGCGAAGAGGGTGAGAAAGAAATATATCCCCAGTGTCTTTTTACCAGTCCAGATTGAAAGCTGAATTGCTTGGCAATTCTAACGACCCGGCAAGAGGGAATTTGCAACAGACCAAGAAAAGGGAAACCTCTCCATAAATTACATTAAAAGCCAGGTGGATTCAAAACCAGGGCTGAAAAGCAGCATACAGGCACGGCCCCCCCAGTGGTTTCGACACCCGAAAGCTTTAAAAGAATTTTTAACAAAGCTAACTCGATTAATTTAAACTTAATTTGAAGATTGGTGTGTGTCTGTGTGTGTATTTTTCCGATGGGTTAATGCTTCTGTAGGATGAACGGCTGAAGTTTCTACTGCAGGAAAACGTGAGAATGCTCGGGTGTCTTGTTCGCAGGATGCTTGATGCTTTTTCCTGGATGGAGCCAGAAGCAAAAGAATCAGTAATACTAAAAAGGAAGACTAATTCAGGAAAGAAAGAAAGTGAATGAGCAAGGCCACTCCAGACACTTGCAATCTTAAAATTGTGTATTTTATCTCGGGGTGGGGGGCACGGGAGGGTGGTCAAAGGGGAACGTTGCTGCTACATCGGTCTGGGATGCTGGTTTGCCTCGAGAGATCTGCAGTCTTGCGCCAAACAGCACCTAGGATTTCACCGGCTGCTCTTGGGTTTCGTCCCCTTCGAAGCCGGGATTGTCAAGATGGGGCAGCGTGTCCACCTCGGGCATCTGCGAAGCGTTGACAAGATGGAGGTGGTCACCTTGGGAGAAAGGAGGGAGGAGGAAGAGGAGGAGATGGTTGGCTACCTGCTCACGGCCCGTCACGTTCCTTGTATGAGCTACAGCAGGGGTGTCAAACTCAAGGCCTGGGGGCCTGGATCTGGCCCGCGGGGCGCTTAGATCTCGCCGGCGGGGCCGCCCTGGAAATAGGAATGGACCGTCCCGCGATGCCTCTGCCAGCGGAAACAGCTCGACGGGGCCCACCCGAGCTCCGTTTTTGCTGGTGGAGGGTTGCAGGACGCGGTCCTGGCAAGAAACAGAGCTTGGGAGCCTGTTTTGGCTGGCAGAGCACTTGGGCTGTCACAGGCGCCCCTGACACAAGGGATGTCATGCTGGCCACGCCCACCCTGGCCACGCCCCCTCACCCCCCAAGGTCCAACACAACCCTGATGCGGCCGCAAGGAAGTCGCGTTTGTCACCCCCGAGCTACAGGGAGACCTTGAGATAGGAACGTCATGGAGCATGCCATGGAGACCCCACACCCTTTCTGACAGGTGGGAGTCCAATCTCTTCTCTTCACTAAATTTAGTGCATAAATGCAAAACTGAAGTCAGCGTGATATTGCCCTTTTTTTGCGATAAGTCTCTACAGATTGAAATAGAAATATAGGTAGCAATAGCAACGGCACTTTAAGAGAATAACAGAGTTGGAAGGGACCATGTAGGTCATCTAGTCCAACCCCTTGTCCAAGCAGGAGACCCTACACCATTTCTGATGGCAGTCTAGTTTCTTGAAAGCTTCTAGTGATGAAGCTCCCACCACTTCTGAAGGCAACTTCTGTTCCATGGGTTGATGGTTCTCCCTGTCAGAAAATGTCTCCTTATTTCCAGGTTGAATCTCTCCTTGTTCAGTTTCCACCCATTATTCCTTCGGGAGCTTTGGAGAATAGCTTGACTCCCTCCTCTCTGTGGCAGCCCCTCAAATATTGGAATATGGCTCTCCTGTCTCCCCTGGTCCTTCCCTTCACTAGACTAGCCATGCCCAATTCCTGTAACAGTTCACTGTATGTTTTAGCGCCTCCAATCCCCTAATCATCCTGGTTGCTCTTCTCTGCACTCTTTCTAGAGCAAGGGTCTTCAAACTTGGCACGTTTAAGGCTTGTGGACTTCAACTCCTACAATTCCTCCTCCAATCATGTTAGCTCAGGAATTCTGGGAGTTGAAGTCTTCAAACTTGGCAAGTTTAAGATTTGTGGACTTCAACTCCCAGAATTCCTGAGCTAACATGACTGAGGGAGAAATTCTGGGAGTTGAAGTCCACAAGTCTAAAAGCTGTCAAGTTTGAAGACTCCTGTTCTAGAGTCTCCACATCCTTTTTATAGTGTAGTGACCAAAACTGGATGCGGTACTCTAGGTGTGGTCTTACTAAGGCTTGATAGAGTGGTATTAGTACCTACCTTGATCTCAATTGTATCCCTCTGTTAAGGCAACTTAGGATTGCATTAGCTTTTTTGGTGGCTGCTGCACACGGCTGGCTCGTATTTAGCTGGCTGTCCACTAAGACTACAAGATCCCTCCCAGTTCCTGCTATTGAGCCTGGATTCAACCCAGTCTACATATGTAGTTTTCAATTTTGATTTCTGAATTTTCAATTCGGAGCTTTATCTGCTAGCAGGACATGGGAAGAAGAGAAAAAAACTCTTCTACGAATGAGAAGACAGTGGCTGGTAGTCACAACTGGTGGGCTTCGGGCAAAGCCACTGACCTTAAACACCAAGCGGTTTGAAGGCTTACCAGGATGTTAATTGCAATTTTAAAATAAAGGATTAGAAGTTAATAGGCTTAAATGCCATTAAGTTCATAGATCGGTTTGGAGAGTTCCGCCGGTTCAAAAACAGAAAGTGAATTTTTTTAAGTCGGAAAGGATTATCTGCTGGGGATGTTTTTGCCCACGAGGCCAATAATCCTGATTAGCCTTCTACAGTTCCTAATTTTATTAAGGAGGATTTCCATTCAGAAGCCTCCTTTGAACGACCCATTCTAGGATTTGGTGGTTATGAGCCAGATCGTAACCGCCAAATCCTAGAATGGATCATGCAAAGTAAGGTGTTTTCGTTCAGCTTCTCATTATTTTGTTCAACTGCTATTATAAGGAGTTGCTCTTCTTAAAAAAGGCTGGTCTTTTTAAAGAGCTCATTAATTAAATCAGGAGCTACCAAAGGCTTTTTCATCTTTGGAAGGATAAATCAGAAATATGGAATTCCTGGAGACGGTGTCTTGATATGTCTGAAAAAAAGAAATGCTATATGCATCTGGTAGCTTAAAAAGTTTACAGGCACATAAAAATCATTGCTGTATTTCCAACAGCAGAAATAATCTGATTTTTGGATCAGCCAATCACCTGCATTTATTGGATGGCTGGATTAATAAACTTTGCATGTTAATATGTCTTATTTTAAGGCTGCCCTTAAAAACAGCATCCAGGTGCTTCAAGAAAACTCTCTTGGGTTCCTGGATGCAGAAACGGTTTTCTGGAACTACAAAGCTGAAAGGTCAGGAAATCCATCCTATTATTCAGCAAAGGAACTTAAAAAAGAAAAGAAAAAAAGAACCCCAACAATTCTCTGTCTTGCTTTCATCTCAACTCCTCAAATCACAGCGTAAGAGCAGAGAGACAGTTTAGTCTAGTGGTTAGGGGCACCAGGCTAGAAAAGTGGGAGATGGTGAATTCTAGTCCCACCTTAGGTACAAAAGTCAGCTGGATAACTTTGGGCCCATCACAAGGAGATTGTGAGATCTAGTCCTGCCTTAGCCATGAATGACAGATGGGTGGCTTTGGGCCAATCACCAGGAGATGGTGAGTTCTAGTCCCGCCTTAGGCACGAAAGTCAGCTGGATAACTTTGGGCCAATCACCAGGAGACGGTGAGTTCTAGTCCCACCTTTGGCATGAAAGCCAGCTGGGCCAGTCCCTCTCTCTTAGCCCAACCTACCTCACAGGGTTGTTGTTTGGGCAAAACAGGAGGAGGAAATTGTGCTGCATATGGAGTTATTTGCAAGAATAATAAAGTGGGATGCAAGTAAATAAGCAGATTAAACAAATGCCAAGCTCCTTATATACTGTCTTTCTTTGGGGCATTTCCTATTACTACAGTGTTTCTCCTCGAATCTATCTGTCGTAGCTCAGCTATGAGGAAATCACTCACACACACCAGGATCAGCACACATCAGTGCCATCCCTGCTTCTGTGCAAAAAGGAACCGAGCCCTTGAAGGAGTGTAAATCCCCTCTCCTCGTGGTGTGCCACTGAATCCCCAGCAGGGGGCAGGCGATACCGTCCAATTTTTTTTGTGCCAAAGGAAAACCAAAGGGATGCTAGCTCCGGAGAAAGAATTGGGTCATTGTTAATTTGCGAGAGCCGCTGGAAACTTACTCTCTGGAGTAACACGCTCCTCCGGAGCCGGTTCCTCAGCTCCCTGCACGGAAGCGTACCCGGATGAGGCGGTCTCGCTGTGGTTATCTTCTTCGTTAACCGAAGGGACGTTAGAAGCTTCACTGGATGCCGTGGGGGCTTGCGTCGCTTCTCCTCGCTCTTCTATGTCCACCTACGTCGAGCAGAATTTCACAGGAAGAAACTAAAGTTATTTCCACACAGCTAAAAGCTCCCTTCTCACCCTTTAGTGTTTCCACGAAAATACGACCTACCCTGAAAGTAAGCCCTGGCTTGATTTTTACATGTGTGCCTGATATAATCCATATCCCCAAAATGAGCCCTAATTAAGACCCCCACCCACTCCAGAGTAGACGGGTAAAAATTAAACTAGGGTGGGGATGAGTGAGGGTGGAGCTGCCCTACTACTTACCTTTGGATAGTTGTAGCGAGGCCTCGCACACCTTGATACCTGCCTTGCCGGCCCATTTCTTCTGCGGCCGGCAAGGCTTTCCCGAAGGCCTCTGTAGCCAATAACAGAGATCCAGATCGACCCAGAGCTCTGTTATTGGCTGCAGAGGCCTTCAGGAAAATCTTGCCGGCCGCAGAAGTTCCTGAAGGCCTCTGACAGCGAAAAGGAGGCCAGGGGCAACGCATGCAAGTGTGGCGAGTCAGTGGACAACATCCCTCCCTCCCAAAAATAAGACCTAGTGCCTTTTTTTGATGGGGGGGAAAAAGGCAGGGTCTTATTTTCAGGGAAACATGGTACGTTCAGTACACTCTTCCCTGAAGGGATTTTAATTCGCTTTCAAAGAGGGTTAATGAACTCCACAACTTAAGCACAAAGCTTGTTTTGCATGGAAAACAACCTTAGAAACACATACGGAGGACTTACATGGAAACTGTTGTTAAGTTTCCTCCTTGTAAATGGACAAAAATGTCTTTCCAAAAGGATAAGGGCACTGCAACTGTTTTCTAGAGCAAACCCGGTAATAGCAAAAGAGCAGGTAATGAGTAACTTAACCACAGCTCATAGATTTACCTCAATTCCCAAAGCCTTCAGTATGTCACATTTACACATGGGGCAGGTCCTATGCTCCAGCAGCCAGGGATCAATACAGCTCTTGTGAAACAGATGGCTGGAAAATAAAAATAACAAGAATTTATACTATGAGTCAACAGGTAAGAGCAACATTTTTTGCTAATTTTTAAAAATGTACAATCGATTTGGTTCACACATTATGTTATGCTTTGCTTAGTCATGGTCTGCTAATCAATCACCACTAGGTTTGCTCACGTTTCATACAGGAATATACCAAACAGAATACTGGTGTACTCTGATTTTGTCTTGTTGTCTTTTAAATCCAATGACTGTTTAAAAGGGCACAGAACTTTATCATCATTCAACAGTTAAATGGAGAGTCTTGGCATGCATATATAATATAGTCACGTAGGTCTGCATGTAGGAATATCGTTATGCAATTGTTTTTGCTATTTTAGGAACCTAACAAAATGTGAAGACCTCAAATTTAAGTCTGCAGTTATTTAAAATATAGTTATATAGACTTTTCTTTTTTTAATAAAAGTCATGTTTAAATGGTAATTCAAAGCTAAATACAATTATTGCATTCTTGACCAGAGATTTCCAACTTTGGCAACTTTTAAGACTGGAGAACTTCAAATCCCAGAATTCTCCATGCATGAGTATCAAAGACGGTTGTAAATATGTATATAATTGTAAATAAATGTAGATAAATGTAAATAAAATAATATGCAGCTAGCACTATACTAATAACATAAGGGAAAAAGGGAATGAACTGTTATGTGTATTTCTATACCATAGCTTGTATGGCCAAAATGATGGCCATGAAAGTCGCACTGTGTTCAGTTGTTTGTAATGTTTATTCAATAAAAAATTTTTGAAAAGAAAATTGTAATTCAAAGCTAAATGCACTTATTGCATTCTAGACTAGAGATTTCCAACCTTGCCAACTTTAAGACTGGTGAACCTCAAATCCCAGAATTCCCCATTGCTGTCAGTGGGAATTCTGGGAGTTAAAGTCCACTGGTCTTAAAGCTGCCAAGGTTGGACACCCCTGTTCAGGTGTTCAATTACACCTGAACTCAACTGATTTAAGTGTCATTTGAGCCAATTATCGTGAGAAACAAAAGCCGACTCAGTGAAACCAGCTCCCCAGGAGTACAGAGGAAGAGAGAAGGAGAACGAGCATGAGAAGAATAACTACTGGAGATGGGGGGGAAAAAAAAGGATTAACTTACTTGCAGGTTAAAATTCGGACGACATCATTTGGTTTGTACGCTTCAATGCACACCGCACAGCTGTCTGCATCAGGGCCCGTTTCCTTTGAAGAAAAGAAGAGAGAGAAAACATTTTCTTCTCATCTTCCACTAACCGGCGGATGTAACCACGATCGGGGGCATTGGGATTTTGGCTAACTGCCCCTCGAAAGGACTCCAAAATGTAGACTCCAAAAATGATGTTTTTCAACACAATAAAAATGGGAGTTCTGGAGAATCGTCTTAGAGCCATGGGCTCCAATCTTTTGGGCACCAGGAACCGGTTCCACGGAGAAAGGTTTTTCCATGGACCAGAGCGGGCGTGGTTTTGCATGGCGCATGGATGGGGCTTCGTGTCAGGGCTCCGGTAGTGACCCCCCATTTAAATCATGAGTCTCTAGTCAACTTCCAGAACTTGAAGATTTATTTGGAGTAAACATGCCGGCACTGCCTGGGTGTAGCTGACTCTGAGGCACATCATTCATTGTCACTCTTGGCCCTGCTTTCCCTTCCCCCCTGGGTGTATCGCAATTCATATTCTCCAATGGGACATGTCCATAGCCAAAAGTCATCAATCATGCTCTCTAGTTAGAATTTTGTGTGGCAGGAACTTTGGTTGTCTGGAAACTACCTATGAAAACATTTATGCAATACAGTTTCGTTTTTGCAAGCTGCTACACCCTCTCTTTCTTTTGGCAACTCTAAAAGATCAGAGAAATATTTTATGAGTTTGACATTTCGCTTGTTTGCGTGGCCCGGTTTCTAGCATGCCACGGCCCGGTCCGCGCCTTGTGGGGTTGGGGACCCGTGATCTAGAGGCAAATTTTTAGAGTAATAGAATCGGGGTGGGCTTCAAAAATTTTAGCAACCATTCTCTGATTGTGGGGTGGGCGTGGCCATGGTGGGTGTGGCCTAGTCGGCCTCCTGCACCACAATGGGAGGTGAGGGAGCTTTTCGCCCTTCCCGGGCTCCGGAGGCTTTCATTGAGCCTCCGGGAGGGCGAAAATGGCCTCCCCAGATGCCGGAGGCTGGAAATGGGCCCGTTTTTCGCCCACCTTGAGCCTCCTTGCACTTACCTGGGATCGAAAATGGGTCATTTGGAAACTCCTGGGAGGGGAGGGGCAGGTTGGGGCAGGGCCAGCCTGGGATGGGATTTGCCGGTTCACCGAACCAGCCATAACATTAGCTACCGGTTAGCTACGGGTTCGCCCAAACTGGGGAGCAGCCCGCCCCTGAATAGGATCTACAGAAACATCCAGGCAACAACTGAACAGAGGAACACCTTCTACAACACCTTCTACTCTGGGAGAGATGGGTCGCATGCAAGTCAAATCAATAAACCAACCTTATCGTTTATATTTGGGTATGCCTCTGGAATTTCCCTCCATTTTGAAATCAAGAAGATAAACCTGTAGCCACAATATAAGTTTTTTTTGCAGGGGGAGGGGGAGGGGAGGGCTCCCCGAAATTAACCGGGCACAATTTGTTGAACGAGTCATACACCTCCTGAACAAACTTTGACGAAATCCTTGTTAAAATCAACCCGCCGAATTAAGATCTCTCTCTCTCTCTTTTCACACTGACTAGTGTTCAAACACTTAAGACTTGTGTCTTGCCCCTGTTGGAATCTGCCTCAGAGGGGGAAGCCAAGCAGCAGGGAGCGGGAGTGTGGCTCCGTTGTCTGTGGAGGAGACTGGGGAAGGGCAAAGTCTGGCTGGGCAGAGCAGGGGAGAGGTAGAACAAGGGAGAGGGAGTTCAGAGGAAGACGCAGGCCCACCCCCTCTTCATCCTAGGGCATGCAGGGAGGAATGGAGAAGGGAGCAACGTGAGTTGCATGGCTTACGGGGGGAAGAAAGGGCCCTGATTCCCTTCATTAGCTGTGGCTGGGAACACAGTGTATAAAAAAGGAAGCTGTGCGCAGTAAGTTGTTGGGAGCAAACATGAATTTATCTTGTATCATCGTGCCTTTTCTGTGCTCCTGGCGTCTTCCCAACTGTGTGAGCTTTGCCATGCTTTCAAGTTTGAAATTTCCGCTCCTGCCCTGCCAAACTAATTACCTCAGTTTGGCTTGTTTGGACTTTAAATTACAGTTTGTGTGTACCTTGTTTTGGACTGAATTTTCTACAGTTAAAGGCTGTTCCTGGGAGTTTTTCTCCAGCCCGAAGGTAACCTGGACATTGGGGGCAAAGTTGGAAATAATAAAGGGACTCTTATTGCTTATCAGACTGTGTTGCCTTTGTGCCACACCCCGGGTCATCACAACTTGTGTTCAAACACCTCTACTTGCTGCAAGGAACTAAGGTGGAAGATTCAAACTGGCCCAGCATAACAGGCTTCCTCACAAGGTTATAGGACATTTAAAAAATAAACAAACGAGCAAACTAGGGATATGGTTATTTTCTGGAACAGGAACAAGAACAGGCTGGGCAGGTGTCTTTTTTGAAGGATGGTGCAACCTGCACGTAAAGAGGATGAATCCGCCTCCTTGTTCTTTTTTTTTGGGGGGGGGGGGTCGTACTGGTACCTTGTCTCCCTGTTTTAATGTACGCAGTTGTAGCTGCCCAATTGCTTTCCTGGCGTCCTCTTTCAGCCGTCTCTGTAAAAAAGACAGAATGTGTCAGTGCAGAACTGGTTCTCCCGTCCAATGTTTAGATCGGCTACACAATTAACAATGGGCGAGGGTGTTCCTTTAAGGAGAGATGGAGCAAACCTGCCTAGGAGTATTACCCAGGACCTAATTATAAGCCAAGAGTCTTGCAGGTATGTGGTTTTTGAAGAGTTGTACTTGGCATGTGCAGAAATATTACTTAGTTTATTCAAAGGGGTTTTGTAGGCCAAACGGGAAACATTCCAGGAGACATTCCCAAATGTCAACCAAATTGTTTTCAGGTGACTGATTAAGGTTAAAACAAGGTTCTCCGGTGGGAAAAAAAAATGGTTCACCTGAACTTGCTTCACGCTCTCTAAAGCTCCTTTATATAGAATAACAGAGTTGGAAGGGACCTTGGAGGTCTTCTAGTGCAACGCCCTGCTTAGGCAGGAAACCCTACACCACTTCAGACAAATCGTTGTCCAATCTCTTCTTAAAAACTTCCAGTGTTGGAGCATTTACAACTTCTGGATGCAAGTTGTTCCGCTGATTAATTCTTCTAACTGTCAGGAAATTCCTCCTTAGTTCTAGGTTGCTTCTCTCCTTGATTCGTTTCCATCTGTTGCTTCTTGTCCGACCTGAGGTGCTTTGGAGAATAGCTTGACTCCCTCTTCTTTGGGGCAGCCCCTGAGATATTGGAACACTCCCATCCTGTCACCCCTAGTCCTTCTTTTCAACAAACTAGGTGAGAATATGAGCTGCCCAGAACAGGGATGGAAAAATGGAAGCAGCTCAATTCAGGTGCTATTCTTCAAATTTCTGCTCCGTTTCAGCCAAATCATACACCGCTTTGAACTGGCCTCGGCCAATTTCCCCCCCTTCCCCAATAGAATGAAAAGAATGCATATATATATTTAACCTAATCTGACTTGAAGTAGTTCATTTTTTTCTCACAGGCACGACTGAGATGGTAGGAAAGCTATATTCTCTGTTTTTAATCTTACTGATGAATGCCAACTATTGTGGATACGGTTTGAAAAATATCCTCTTTCTTTGATTGCTTTTAACAGCCAACTGCAGTGGTATCGGAAGCTTTTCACCGAATAGTCACCCAGTGGCATGCATGAGATTAAACCGTCATAGATATTTAATGATCTTGAAAGATTCACATCCTTTTATGAGGCTGTAAATACAGATGAGCTAGCACGCATTCATTTCACGCCGAGGCAACTCATTAAGCCCTGGCAAATTAATTTTAGTTTGGATAGGAGAAGCAAGCGAAAGGTTGTAATTATACACTGGAAGAACTTGAAGTGTCTGTAACAAAGGGAGCCTCTCAGGTGCTAAACCCTAAGCCAGCTACGCACGGAAAATCTATCAGGAGAACACACCACTTTTGCTTCAGGAGGCTGGAGGTGATAAGTCTTGGCAGGCTCTTAAAAGGATACTGCTTGAGCTATTTAAAGAATCCATACAAGTATTCCAAGAATTTATTTACCAACCTTGGAAAAACAGCTGTTCACTAAAAGCTGAAATTATCTAGAAAAGTATATCTTTTTTTTTAGAAATTTACTGTCTGAGGAAAGAGTCTTTCCAACTAGAATCCAGGCTGGCCCATTAAAAAAAAAATTCAAACGCAACAAGAAAATCCCACAAATTCCTCCCAAATCAAGAAATGATTATATTATGAAGTTGTGTCCTCAGATGTATGCTAAAACCTTGGTGGTCTCTACTTCGCATGGATGGATTTATCAGAGGGGCGGCTTAAGGACTGATCATTGTGGACAGGTCTTTATAAAGCATCACTGTTCAAAACTTTGCCCACAGCCTGAAGTTCGATCCTGACGGGGCTGAAAGGGTGGAGAGAGAGAGAGAGAGAGAGAGAAAAACTCACCTGTCTCCTGTTCTGGGCCCTGGCAACCCGGAGCCTTCTAGTGGAGTAAAATATGAAGTACCCCACCGTGGCGGCGGTGACAATGAAGAAGGAGACCGAGACGAAGAAAATGGAGTAATTATTCATCCACGAGCCGTGTTTTTTCCCTACTTCGATAGCCATGGTCACCTGGTAGCCCCTTTCAATCTTCTGGAGGATTTCTCTGCCTTTGGCGTAGCTAATCATGATGGCCACGATGTTTCCCGTACCTGCACGAGAGAAAGGTTGGAGGCGTTGCGGCAGGCTGTCCCTGCCAATGGGGCATGTCTTTGTGGTGGGCTCCTCTAAGCTGGGTGGTTTTTCTGGCAGATGTTTCACGACCCAACTAGCTAACATCATTAGTGATCCTTCCTTCCCTCCCTCCCCCTAGTGCTCTCTGAGCTTGGTGGTTTTCTGGCAGACGTTTCACAACCCAACGAGGTAACATGATCAGTGATCCTTCCTTCCTCCCTCCCTCCCTCCCTCCCTCCCTCCCTCGGTGCTCTCTGAGCTTGGTGGTTTTCTTGCACGCATTTCACAGCCCAACTAGGTAACATCATCAGTGCTAGAACCCCCGTCTCTTCTATCACGATGATGTTAGCTAGTGGGGCAATGAAATGTCTGCAAGAAAACCACTAAGCTCAGAGATCACCAGCTCCTCTCCTCCTGTTCCTCCCTTCTCCTCTACTCCACAAACCCCCACTCCCTTCTAGCACTGATGTTACCTAGTTGGGTAACAAAATGCCTGCAAGAGAACCACCTAGCTCAGCTAGCATCAAGGACTCCACAGTTCAACCCTCAGCTACAAATATTCTTTTCTATAGACCACGTGCTATTTATTCATTTATTTATTGGATTTATGTATAACTATTTTATCTCCCAAACATTGACTTTACCCACTCAACAGACCCAATCAACAGCCATTTATGAAGTCTGCTTGCAGGAGGGACCCAAGGAGTGGTCCCCAAAGTGACGTTTTGGATTCTTGCTTAACTGCCACCACTAAGATGAGGAAGTCCATCTTCTAGGTGTGGCCTCCCTGGCACAACAACACTCCGATGTGAACATTCACGTTGGCCAATTAAAACTCTCCCAGGGTGGGAGAGTTGGGAGGTGGTGCTTTCATCATGGGAACGCTGCTTATATTGGCACTTCAAAAGTTTAGCAATTATTCTGGTTTTGTTATTCTGGTTTGGTTCTTTTTCTCGTTGCGTTTGTTACTCTTGTGTGTAATTTGCTTGCCAAGAACTCTACAGACTCAAAGGCGGAAAATGTAAGCTAATTGGAGGTAAAAGAAACACCACCACCAACCAAGGTCAATGTTTCTTGCTTCCTGTCCAACCCAGGTGTCCTTTGTATCTGGCTGGCCAACAAGGACATTTTAAGAGAAACAACAGGGTGTGTGTGTGTGTGTGCATGTGAGGTGCAACCCTTCCCTGTCAGTCCATCTTGCCGGTGCTGCATTTCAGCACAAGACACAACTTGCACTCTCTGTTTTCTTGTTCCCAGTCTGTGGACAGGAAGGTTGGGAGTCCACAAAACGTTTTACACGTTTGCCAGAATTAGAATTTCTTTTCTTTTTAAAAAAATAATTTGTTATTAATGTTTTTATTAACATTAAAAACAATTGAACACAGTGCGACTTTCTTGGCAATCATTTATAACATAAAAATAGATATAACAGTTGATTTTTTCTTGACTAAGTTAATTTAGTGCTGGTTACATATTTGTTTCTATTTACATTTATATACATATTTACAACCTAGCTTCTTTTCCATCTCTTTTTTCCCTTATAGTCTTTTATATTCATATCATATTTGTCCATTACATTTCTTTTTCTTTAACTTACAAAACTTTAACCTTCATCCCTATAAAAGCGTCAACACTTTCTTCTTTTCCTCGACTCCAACCATTGATACATTTTGCTCCAGACTTCACAGTACTCTGGTCTCACCCTTATCCTTAATTTCTAGAGTTAGTCTGTCCATCTCTGCACAGTCTAATATTTTCCTTATTGTTTCGCTTTTGATGGGGGGGGTCAGAAATTAGAATTTCTAATTACAACAGGAGGATTTGTGGGTTGGATTACTGACCCACGGTATAAAAAATATTCAGCGGTTTAAATGAAGGACTGTAAATCTCCATATTCCAGGTAGACTTGGATTTTCCAAGGTAACCTTTGTCGGTTAAGACAATAACAACAAGAGTGCAGTTAGTCTTTGACTTGCAACCATGCACTGAAAAAAGTCGCTTGTTACACCTTTTTCACACTTACGACTTACGATTCCCTCGGTCAAACTTCAGACGCTTGGCAACGACTCATATTTACGACGGTTGCCGTGTCCTTGGGTTACGTGATTCCCCTTTTGAGACCTTCTGACAAAGACGACGGGAAAAGCCAGACTCACTGAACCACCGTGCTAACTAACCTCACAAACTGCAGTGGTTCACTTAAGGACCGTGGCGAGAAAGATCGCAAAATGGGGCAAGACCCACGAATGTCTCACTTAGCGGCGGAAGTTTTGGGCTCGATTGCGGTCATTAAGTCGAGGATAACCTGTAAGTGCTGGTTTTTTTAATTTTACGCCTCTAAGGAATTTGGCCTCACTTTATAACTGGGGCAGAACGATCCGAATAATAGGAGCAGGGAAGGCATGAACGATTTGATCGGTGAGGTTTTGCCTAGAATGTAATTTGTGTACCGGCTACCGATGTTGCAATCTCAGCTACGCTTAAATTCATGCAATATCTTCCTGGCAACATTTAATCACAAAAGCGTGCCAGTTGTGCTGTGGCACAGATTAACACCCGCTGGTGCCAGGCTTAAAAGAAAGTTTCCAACTCGCCTTATCTAGCTAAGAGACGGGCAAATTAATTTGGCGCTATCTGAAAGTGTTTTACCACGAATGGGCAGGGATTATCCAGCCGGTTCTGGCTTCTCCTTTATATTCCATATCAGATGGGGGGGGGGGGGGGGGGGAACCCCAATGATTCCGTAGAACGACGTTTTTAGAAATATGAGGGGCTCCTTAGTGCTCTCTGACCTTGGCTGCTTTCTTTTACCCCTCCCTCCAACAACGTTTTTTTTAAAAATTGAGTTATAAAGTAACGTAAAATACAAAATACAAAAGTAAATAGGAAAGCAGTGGGGAGGAAAAGGGGAAGGAGAGGTGAGGAAAGGTAAGAAAAGAAAAGAAAAGGAAGAGAAGCATTGACTTCCGACTCTGTTACAGTAAAATAAGGCATTCACGTCAAATCACAACTTTTTTGCTTTTTTCAGAATAATATGAACACGCCATTTCTTATATGAACGTGGCTGCTTTCTGGCAGACGTTTCATTACCCAAACTAGGTAACGTCATCAGTGCTAGAAGGGAGTGGGGTTTGTTGAATAAAAGAGGAGGAGAATGGGAGGAGGAGGAGGAGGAGGAGGAGGAGACTGTGGGACCCTTGGTGCTGTCTGAGCTTGGCTATTTTCTTGCAGACATTTCATCACCAA